TACACATCCACTTTCCTGATGCTCCTGGATTTTCTTCTGCCCCTCCTGCCGCCAATGAATTCGTTTCGGTAAATGTGCTACGTGAATTTCACCTTTCCGCATGGAATTTAAGCGCGAGGCCGCAAAACACGCACGAGGCGCCGTAAAAGCGCTTTTTCGCGGGCTGTTTTGTTGCGCCCGGAAATGGATATGGCTTCTAGGAGAGAAAGGCACGCGGTAAGATAGCCCCGAGAATAATGGCTCGTAAGATTTCACGGGATAAGGTCGATTTCCAAATTTCAATGTTAATTTCGTAAAAGCTTCCGCGACAAGTTATTTTCTCACTTTCTTCTTCCCGCCCGTGACTTTCTTCATTTTACGAAATTTTTTTTTCAAAATTATAAAAAACTTTTTTCGAAAAATCTCAAAGTGCAAAGATATTTGCCGGTTGTTTCATAAGACTCGAATGACATACGATAAGTTGCCGAGACACTGCGATTGGCTTAATAAGAAAGTTGCCACTTCGACGCGATGACGTAGCGTCTACGTCGCTTAACGTAACGAGAAACGTCGATGGTTCTTAAGTATGAATAATGCATCGCGGTGCCAGCGGTACGTAGCTTTTGATCTTTTGTAACTCGGCGAATTTGGCTGAAGCGAGTTCCCACGAATTCACCGCTCTCAAAGACGATTATGACGACATTATTTGGCGTTGCCTTAACAAAACTCAATTTAACTTTTGACACCCGAACTAACCGCGGATCGACACAGCCCTGTATATACCTTTGTATACAGCAGCGCAGCTTACAGTCTTACCGAACTTACCGACGTCAAATCAAGAACAAAGTATCGAAAATCGAAAAAAAAAAAAAATTCATAAATTTTACAGCTCGGTCCCATAGATCGAACTACCCTTACGGCTCGTACCACCCTAATATCCGAATCAAATGGAACACACCCTAAGCGCGTATTACTATTCAGTTACCGAAGTCGCACAGACTCCCTGTAAACTTTACGTAAAATACGGATTGTCGATTTTGAGGTCCAGGAGTGAGGTCCAGGATCGGTATGAGATGCAAATTGCGCAATAAATTTGGAAAACCTATGGAGTCGCCCGGCTGCCGCTGGCAGAACGTAACCGGCTGGGCTATGGATAACCAAGTGTAAGTCGAAGGCGAATAAGGTGAAAGTATAGAAGATAAGTATAGCAAGAGAAAGGGTTGGTCGTTCGGTGGGAGGTGAAGGTGCTTTCCCAGCAGACAGTGGAAGACGTAGGAAAGGTAGACCGAAACTTAGTGGTTGCCAGGCTGCGTCAGCTGGCGGCAGAGCCTGGGCCATAGCTATTCCGTAGACATCACTGTAACAGAATGCGTCAGGTTGCCTTTATGTCTCTCCCGGCCCCCCGTCTCGACCCCCCTTATATGCCAAAGTCATCCCTCCCGTTCAAGTGCCCTGGTTACGGCGGCTGAACAATCGAGATTTCATATTGCAGCTTCCGCCACGTTTCTCTGCCGAGCTCCTCGATCCTCGGATACGTTTGTTTTGGGCTTTCCGCTTCGCGGCCAACTTCAGAGCTGACTTTTCGTAGCCGGGGCCATATCGAATTTTCCGACTTTGGAGTAGAGTTAATAATTACATGGGACCATGTAGAGTGTCGATAATGATAATTATAACTCAAGGGTAAGTGCTTTGGGGGGATGGGATTCGTTCTTCCAGGCCCAGTAGCCTGTATGAAATTATTTTATTTTTCTATTTATAAAAAAAAAACAAAAAAAACGCTCGTTACCCCGCCAGGTAGGTCTTTCTGGAAATCGATTTTGCTTAATGTTCCGGATGAGGGCGCGGCTCATATTGGACCGTCCTTGGGGTGAAACTAGGGTGGTGCTGATATAAGTCGTTATATATTAGGAAATTTTCTTCCTTCTTAATTTCGTTCGGAGAATATTAGCATTCACGAAGACGGTACCCTTTTTCTTCTACCTTCGGGCTTTGTACGTCTGGTTCTTTGAGCAAGGCCAAAACCGGAAACGACGTTATCCAGGTAGGGCAGGTAGGTGTAAGCAGTTTTTTATATTTTGTTTAATTCACAGGTTCACTGGACCCGGGTCAGTGGGCGAAATTACTATTAATGGAGAGCAGCCAATTAAAGGGGGTTAGGTCAGGTTAGTACCCAAGATTGGTGACTTCGAGAATGGAAGCAATTTAATATATTGGGATTCCGTTCGATTTCAGAGCAGCGAGACGGCTCGGAGCGTCAAAGAGAAATTTGAAATGGGAAACGAAGCCGGTATCGGCAGTCAAATTTGGCGCTCACCCCTCCTGTCAAAACCTTTTTCAAGCACTTCATTAGATGTTAAATCCCATTTCGTTTCTTTTATTTCGTCATTGTGTTGTGATGGTTACAAATTTTTGTTGAGCTGGCACCGCCATAGGTTTTGACTGAACGGGCTGGAGCTCTAAAATTTTAATTATGCCTCTTAATTGGCACTCGATCGGCTCTCAAATAGCTCTTAATTTTCCAATAGATTTTATTTCAATTTTCCACTGTGGCGGTTACAGCTTTATTGACGTATATATATATATATACACAAACACCACCAAAATACATACCCTGTTATTCAGAGCCATTGCGCCAGCTGAAGACGATCCTACCACGTGGATTAATGAAAATCAAACGAACCATCTTCGGATGGATCAACGCTCCTAAACAATCAGTACCAAGTGAAGATAAATGAAAATACAAAAACCAGACAGAAGATCCCCGAGATTGCTTAAAATCGAAAGCGTTAAAACGATTGATTAAACGACATAGATTATATGAATCCTTTTTGAAAACGCTCCTTTAAATTTCGACAACTCGTACAAAATGGCCGACGAGTAACGACCGATCGCGAGTATCCCTGGTCGAGACAAATGGCGACAAAATTCACTAGACTGCCTATGGTACAAGGGTGATGTACGTTACCTTTCAATGTACATAGATATATTCGACCTAAAATAATATAGGCTTTACACTGTGTGTATATATATATATATATATATATATACACACAACATAGTCAGACTTCCAGACAAGATTCTAGCCAACCTGCTATTATTCATCTCCCGCCGACAGGAAGGGATGGCGGCGGCCATTCTACGAACGGAAGTGAATACGCCAGCACGACTGCGTTCTCTTTAGGATTATCTAGGCGGCTGCACGGACAGCCATAAAATCAGCCCGCTAATGGACGTGAACGTAACGCGCATCCCTTGCTTTTTAATCATCTGAAATAGAACGTAATTCCTTTATCGATTCTCCAGTACGGTAGGAAGGCAGGGAAGTGGGAAGGAAGGGAAGAAAAAAAGGTTGGATATCCGTGATCTACCTTTTTCTTAAGGGATTAGATACTGTGTGTATTCAAGCTCTCTCTCTCTATATATATATATATATATATACTCCTACGGGGTATAGAAGATTTGTTCCTGATACGAGACGTAGGTAGATTTACATTCAGTGGCATTGTTTTTGCGAGAGAACCTTCGGCGCTGGTTTGCTTTTCGGTAGAGGTCGGACCAACGTGATCTGTGGAGTTAACGAGAGCCACAACTGTTGGAGTTAGGGCGACAGATGTCGGCAGTTTAGGGAGACCGGACGGGGGTACCGGTTTAGTAGGATGTACGTGGCGCTACGTGGAAACGATAATCTTTGCCGGAGTAACGACAGCGCGTCTTTCTCTACGGACATAACGGAGCGAAGGATATAGAAGAGAAAATTTTGTGCAAATTTATTTGGCGGGTGAATTTAAAAAAAAAAAAAAAAAAAGTTAAAAAAATTTTTTTTCAATAATCGAAACAGCACGGCTATCCAATTCGGCGATTTTAGTTCAATCGACCTGCATATAATTCTAAACTTTAGCCAGGAGCTTCAATACCAGCATCGCGTTCATCGAGCTTATCAGATACGTGTTCGCTCTCTAAGCCAGTACGGGGAATCTGGTGGCTGCGTCGTGTCTGCCGTGGAAATGCAGCGTCGGATGCACGGCAGCTGCAACTGTGCAGTTGCATCCTGCTGATAGAGGGCCAACCGGTGACACGTTCAACTTTGTGAAAATTCAACGGATGAAACTTGCTGTTATATGGACGAAAAGAGAGTTTCTGATAGAGATGAGAGAAACGGTACATACAGCATCCCTCGAACAGGGTTGCCATCTTTCATCGAGCAGGTGTTACTGATCGGTCCGGCTGGGTCACGTGCTTTTTAAAATCCTCCCTCCCGGGCTGCTGGCTATTTTAAGCAAACTGGTCCACGTCGATGATTAATCGGGAACTTTAATGCATGGTTGAGAGTCCCCCCCCCCC